TGGATCCATCATTCCCACTTCAAACCAGTACCAGCCTCCAAAGGTGATCGACCTACAGTTAAGTGAACTGTTATCCTCTACAAAAACCCCTTAAATCTTAAGATTGCCAAATGTACCTAATAGTCTTTGGTCCTATGGGTTCTCCCTTATGGAGACCTCAGGGGCACATCTCATAATCCTCAGTTTGGAATTTGGAAGCTAACTGATTGCAATACTGGTGACATGTTGGCAACCAATGCCACTGTCCATGGGATAATTAAACTAGATTTATGTGCTCTGTTAAATAAGATTCCAATGAAAACTAGACAAAAGAGAGCTGGGCACCCCCTCAGATACCCACAGGCAACAATGTATGGACCTTGTGGAAACCTAGAGAGTCAAAAGAGATTACAGTCCACTGGCTGGTACCTCTGTCCCCAAATACAAAAACCAGCTACTGACCTTGCACATATTGGAATATTTAGAGATTATTATACTGGAGATCTTCACAGTCCTTAGAGACACAATGCTTTTGTAGATATTGGGGTTGTGAACTATATCCCTTTGGAATAGAAATCAAATAGACACCCATGTTTTGCTTACCCATGAGACCCCCATCTTCCTGTATCCTCAACCAGTGTAACCCTATGACTTTCAACCCAAAATTCCAACGGATCCTATTTGGAAAGCTGGATTAAATTATGGAGTTAGGATATGACTCTCTGGATATAACTCTGGAAACACTTTTAGTATCCAGTTGGTTCCTGGACGTATCCGGACAGCTTCCACCAGACCCACAGACCCTCAATCTCCCCAGCTGTCTCAACCTCTTCCCACCACATACCTTGCTTCGTCTCCCTCTGAAACCTCTGCTTCTCCTCCTGGAGCAACCACCCCCTTGTCCCATTACTCTTGAGCCACCTCCAGACCCTTTCCTGCCTCTAGATTTTGCATATCAGTTCCTTAATCTTAGTACTCCAAGTCTCACTGCTGTCTGCTGCCTATGTCTCCCATCCTGACTACCTTTCTATACGGGCAGTCCCGTGACTGATATTGTGGCAAATCAGCTTTCAAACTCCTCTACAAATGATTCTGTCTGTTGGTGGGGTGCTACACCCCTGATCGCCCTGGAAGTACCCCAGGTACTTGTATGTACTCTGCCTCCTACCCCTTGTGAACTTCGCCCTATGCTATGCTCTGTAATCTCACTTACTCAGCCCTTGCTGTGTGCTCCCTAAAAGAGCATTGTTATCCTGCTCTATGTTGGCCACTGCCCTAGTTATTTGACCTAACTATCTTGTAACTCCCTTCGCAAACACAGCTGTTTTTTGCAGCTGACCACCCCAGAGCACCAACCACATTGTTGTAAAGTAACTACAACAGCACCATACTATTCTGTATGTGTTGTCACCCCAGATAACCTGTTTGCTATGTTAACCTTTGTTCCCCTTTTAAAAGGACAGATGTTGTCCGAAATTAAATGGCTATATACTGCCCACACTCCATCTTAATCCTTGCCCCTATAATGATAGCAGATATCCTGGAATTGGTAGACCAAGAGCTGTAAATTCTTGTAAAGAAGGAAATGGCTGACCACCGACTGTGAAACTTCCCGTAAATTCTGTCCTCAAGCAAAAGGGAATAAAGGTCTTCCTCATTTTTGTCCCTCCTCCCATCATTGGTTTTCTCTTATAAAAGTCTGACAAAATTTTAACCCAGTTACACAGCTTTGCAAACTCCAACTACACTGTGTTGCTGGTACCAGCTTAAATAAAGTGGTCCTCTTTCTTTTAAAAGACATCTTGCCCCGTTTTTTGGACAACAGCTCACGATCTCTTTTTTGGGGTACAACAGCCCTGATTTATAATCTCTTCTACCTTGCTAATCAGCACCTTGTTGCTCCCAATGGAACTTGGTTTGCCTGTACTTTTGGTATAACTCTTTGTTCTGTGCATCACCTGTTCATCCAGCGCCCTGAGCTTTGCATATTGGTTCACATTTTTCTCCAAGTGTACTAGTATTCTGGAGACAGTGGAAGGAGCCACATCTTCCCTAGCTTTAATTTTGAGAACTCTGTCCATCTAAAAGAAACACTGTATTTATACCCATAATACTGGGGGTTGGGGTCGCGGGATCAATAGGTCTAGAAGTGTCCAGCCTAGTAATTGGAGACCAGAATTACAGACACCTAAGTGCGCTCACTGACCAAGATCTAACCACCCTCAGTGACTTTGTCTCCAAGCTGGAAGATCCCTTGAGTTCCCTGGCTGAGATGGTTTTACAAAATCAAGGGGGGATAGATTTGTTCCTAAAAGAGGGAGGTCTCTGTTTGGCTTTAGGAGAAATTTGCTGCCTTAGGCCAACCATTCCAGGGACATCAGATAAAACATGGCAAGCCTTAAAAAGCAATTGCAAGAATGAGAACAAGCCAGACAGGCCGAACAAAACTAGTTTGAATGCCGGTTCTCTTTTTCCCTTGGTTAACAACTTTGATAACAGCAGCCACAGAACCTGTTAATCCTCCTCATCTTTGTAACCATATGGCTTTCCTTATAAGCAAATTGGTAAACTATGTCAAAGGCTGAGTTCAAACTGTTAAATTAAGGATCTTAAGGAGATAAGGCTATGAACAGATATCCCTATCTGTATTGTACTCTAACCAAAGTGCAGCCATCCTGTTCTGTCTGCTACCCTGTACTCTGTCTCAACCTTTGTACCCTGTAAAAATCCCCCTTTGTGAAACACACACACACACACACACACACACACCCCAAAAAACTTGTTCCTGGAACTAGCTGCCCCAAGTTGCAAAATATCCCCTAAAGCTAAGAAACTTGTCTCCAAGTCAAATAAAGAGACAAAAAGCCTTCTTCACTCCCAGCCCTCCTCCCTTTTGCTTTGAGGTTTTTCCCTTTATAAAACTCCCAGAGACCTAACATAGTCGCACAGCTCTGCAATTTCAAGGAGACTGTGCCTTTGAGTACTAGCTTAAAAAAACTGCCTTTTCCTTTTGGACATTGCCTGGTTTTTGAGTTACAAGAAAGCACTTCCTTTTTAATTTTTGGTGTCCACTGTTTTCATGACCATCACAGAGGCATTTTCTCAGTCTTTTTAAAATGAAGTTCAGAGCTGTGTGTTGTACCCCAAAAAACGAGCCCCCAAAATGGTGTCCAAGAAATGGGCAAGACGTGTTTTTTTAAAGAAAAACGAGCACTTTTTATTTATTCTGGCAACAGGGACACAGTGCAGTTGGAGTTTGCAAGGCTTGTGTGTCTGGCTTAAAATTTTTACAGACTTTTGTAGAAAAAACAATTACAAAGTAAATGGCTTATGGATGTGGATCAGGAATGAGGAAATCCTTGATCAGCTAAGGAATGAGGAAGACCTTTGTTTCCCGTTGGTTGAGGACACAGAAGATTCCCAGGTATTTACAGTCCTTTGTCAGCTAATTTCAGCATTTAATTTTATATAACATCTGTCCTTTGCAGAGGGGAACAAAGTTAATATATCAATCAGGTCACCCAGAAAGATGGCACACACAGAACAGTATAAAATAGCTACAGCTATTTTATAATGTGGTCGGTGTCCAGTTGTTGAAAATAGTTGCCTTTGCGAAGGGAATTAACAGGTAATTTGGTCATATAACTTGGACACTGCAAACACAGTATAGGATGATGAAGCTCTTTTTGCTTGTGTACAACACTGTGGAAGGTCGACTTAAAGAGTCTCAAAAATCAGGCATAAAGCCCAGCTCTGCTAAGTGCTGCCTGTGATCCCCGCATTATTCTCTTTCCTTTCTTGCATCTGTATATACAGTGGCCACATTTCTAGGACTGTTGAAAAAGTCCAATGACAAACTTGAGATTTATCCTGCTGTACACTAGCAAAAAGAGCTTCGTTATGTTTGTGTTATGCCTAAATTATAGGACCAATTATAAGTACCTGTAACTGGGGCTTTATTGTTCTGTAGGCTTTTTTTGGGGGGGGTTGACCTAATTGATATGTTAATCTTTTTTTTTTGTCTTTTTCGTTTTTATTGGTACCAGGGATTGAACTCGCGACTGCCTGCTTGCAAGGCAGGCGCTTATGCAGCTGAGCTAAATCCCCAGCCCCTGATATATTAATCAATGCTCCTCTCTGTAAAGAATTGTAAATCCCTGGCACCCTACCCTAATTGATACATTAACCATTGTTTCCCTCTACAAATAAGAGATGTGGTGCTAAAATAAGCTGACAAAGGACTGTTAATTATTGCTAGACTTCTCTGTCCTCTGCTAAGGGAAACAAAGGTCTTCCTCATTTCCTTAGCAGATTTCCTGATCCATGCCCATAACCCCTTACTTTGTAAATTATGCTTTCTACAAAAGTTCTGGAAAGTTTTGAGGGAGACACACAGGTTTTGCAAACTCCAACTGTACTGTGTTGCTGGGCCCAGGATAAAATAAATCAGCGCTACTTTAAAAAACAAACAAATAAACAAACATGTCCTGCCCCATTCTTTTGAACTCGAGTTTGGGGCTCTGGGGTGGGGGGGCTCGTTTGTGGATTACAAGAATCCAAGTTGACTAAGGCACACAGGGACTTAAACCATACAGCAGTCTAACCCGCTCCCCTTTCACTTTCTCAGTTCTAACTCCATTCCTGGCGCGCCATCAGGGGACCAGGAAATAGACTCTTCCCCAACCCTCGGCCGCCTAGCTCTCCGCTCTGTTTCAACCTTTGTACCCAGTAAAAATCCCCCTTTGTGGAAAAAACAAAAACAAAAACAAAAAAAAAACCAAAACTTGTTCTTGGAACTAGCTGACCAGAAGTTGCAAAATATCCTGCGGGAGCTCTGTAGCAAATTGCAGGCGGCTTGCCGGCGGGGCTCCTCGCCCCACCCCCAGCCACTGCGAGACCCCACAGCCTCAGGCCCCCGGACCGAACCCCCACCCCTATTCTCCCCTACCTGCCCCGCCGCCCACCTCATCACCCAGGCCCCGCCCCGCGTCGTCCTCTCTCCCAGGGGCGGCCCGCTCTACCTGTGAATGTTCGGTTCCGTCCCCGATTCTCTCAGACCCGGCCATTGCCCTCCGATAGAACGAATATGGCAGCTCTTAACACCAACTCGCCGACTAGGCGGAGCCCAGGATCTACACCAACGCCGACCACGCTGCCCCGAGCGGGCTGAGGCCCTGAGTCACGCCCCTCAGCCGAGCGGTTACTGCGGCCCCGCCCCCGCACGGGGGTTCCGCCCGCGGCGCGGCCCCGCCCTTGCTCAAGGCCCGGCTCCCAAAGGACCTCGCCCCCGCAGGGCTCCTCTAGTTTCCGCACCTGCGTGCTGGGAGGCTCCTTAGCTGCTGTCTCTCGCCCATGGAATGTGTTCCCAAAGAGCGCACCTACCTCGTGGTGCTCCTCCTCTCCATCCCAATCGGCTTCCTCTTTAAGAAGGCGGGTGAGTCGAGCTCCCGCCCGGGGAAAGCGAGGGAGAGCGGGCGGCCGGAGGGCCGAGGAGGGAGCCAGGTCCCGGCTCAAGCCGTTCTCTCCCTGCTGGCCCGGGACCGAAGCGATGGGGCGCGGCGGCCGTGGGCCTAGGGCTCACCGTGTTCACCTGCGGCGCCCACACGCTGCACTCTCTGATCACCGTGCTGGGGACCTGGGCGCTCGTTGAGGCCCAGCCCTGGTGAGCGGGGTGCCCGAGTGGAGGGGGAGGGAAGCAGGGGACCGCCAAGCCTCCGGACACCTCTGCTTTCTCCTAGCCCCCTGTCCTCCGTCCTGCGTCTTATTTCCTCCCTCCCCGCCCGCCTGTCTTGGCGCCTGTGCCCAGCATGCCTGCGCTATGATCCCTGCACACTGACCTCGCCCCGTTGCCCTGCGAGTCTGGGCGGTGAGGACCCGGAGGACCTAAAGCTCTGGCTCCGGAGCCGCTCTCGGCTGGCTGACTCCTCCTCTCGCTGTGCCTGCGCCTTTTCTGCCTGAGAGCTGGGCGAGTTTTCTAGCGGGATCAGGGACACAGGCACAGAGGCCGCGGTCCCTGCACCCACACAGCGCTCCTTCCTCCGCCTCAGCTCCTGCCACACCCTGGCCCTCGCCTGGACCTTCTCCTACCTCCTGTTCTTGCGAGCCTCTCAGCCTGCTGGGCCTGCCAACTCCCAAGCCTTTCACCAATGCTGTCCAGCTGCTGTTAACGCTGAAGGTCAGCCTGGACTCCCACTCCCCCGCTGCCCTGGGGCCCAGTTGGTTGAGGCGCTGCACCTCCTCCCGGCCCTTCCCACGGGTGGGGTGGGGAGTTTATCTCCGAGCCCGGAGTGGGAGCAGCACTCACCTCTCTTGCATGCCAGGAGCGGGTCTTCGAGGCTCATGGTATCTTTAAGTTTCTGTCACAGACTGTTTTGTAAATAAGGAGGACTAGCTTTGTTAAGTACCTGGCCAAGAATCTGTCCTAGAGTCTGGTGTGACATCAGTGAACAGAAAGGTGACACAAGGTGGAGAGTAGGGCCTCTCCAGCATTCTGTTCTCACCAGGAGCTCAGGCCCAGGCAGGAAGGAGTCAGATGCAAGGTGACTTGCAAGAAGGCCCTTTCGGGGTGTGTGGGAATCAGGGCTTGTGTGGGATCCCTGAGTGCCATAGACTGTGCCACCACGGTGCAGTGGGCAGCAAGGTCCAGGCCACACAGGGCATGTCTGCTATGGTAGGATTGGGACCTCCTTCTGTGGGGGCCCAAGATTCTTTTTTGTTTTATTAAGTTTATTGGTACAATTTAAATATATGTGTACATTCATCATAGGGAGTTTGTACCTGTTCGTGATAAACCTTGGTACTCTTTTTTTCCCACTCTCCTCCACTTCAACTCCTCCTCCCTTCCTTATTTACAAAGCTTTGTTTCCATTTTAACCTTCTTTTCTCATTTTACTTCTTTTCTCTTCTTCTCCTCCCCTCCATAGCTTCCCTTACCTTTTGAACAGTTTCTTCACTTTTCACAATATCTGCCATATATTTTGGTTCTTATTTACATTTTGAGTTTCTCACACTGGAGATACCCCGAGATATTCGAACACTCAAGTGTTCTCACACTGGAGAGACCCCGAGATATTCGAACACTCAAGTGTTCGTTTATTTCACTTGAGTATGTTCTCAAGGTTCATTCGTTTACCTATAAAGGTCTCAATCTTATCCTTTATGCTAAGTAGTACTCCATTATATAAAAAACCTCACATCTTATTTATCCATTCTCAGTTGATTGTCATTTGGGCAGTTTACAAGATTTAGTTATTACAAACTGTGCTGTTATAAACATGATGAGTGTATATCACTGTGGTGTGATGTTTTTAATTCTTTTAGGAAGATAGCAAGAAGGGGAATAGCTGGATCAAAAGGGATCTCTAGATCTAATTTCTTGAGAAATCCCCCTCCACTCTTGATTTCCATGGTGGTCACACCAGTCTGTACTCCCACCAACAGTGGGGAAAGGCTCCTTTTTCCCTTGGCCCAACCAGTGCCTGTTATTGGTTGATTTCTTGACAATAGTCACTTCTTTCTGGTGTGAGATGGGCTCTCAGCAATTATGTTAATTTGCACTTCTGGAATGAACAGTGATCCTGAGCATTACTTCATATATCTATTCACTGTTTATATTAATTTGTTTGAGGTGTCTATTTCAAAAGCCTATTATTGGATTGGATCTTTATTTTTGGAGGGGGTCTGAATTTTTAAATTTTTTTTTTATATATTCCTAGTTAGTAGTTCTTTGAGGAACAGTTTGGCAGGGGGAGCAAGTTTTACTGGGAGAATTTTTTGGTTTGTTTCTGGAAGAGAGGATGCAGTCAGTTTTGCATGTTTAAACTGTCCCTCATGAGCTAGGTGTGTGACACATGCCTGTAATCCCAGCGCTCTGGGAGGCTGAGGCAAGATCAAGATTTGAAGCCCAGTTCAGATGCTTTGAACAATTTAGGAAGGCCCTGTCTCAGTAGGATAGAGGGAGGGAGAGAGAGACACAGACAGAAACAGAGAGAAAAGGGCTGGAGATGTCCCTCAGTGCAAAAGAACTGGGTTCAGTTCCTAATACTGCACAAGGAAAGTCCTGGTGACTGACAGTGGCAGCTCAGTTCAGCTGTGGTAGGTGGCTCAACCTCCACAGGAAATACTGCTTGAGGATTGCCAAAGCGTTTTTTTTTTTTTTTTTGCAGTGGGGTGGGCAGGATGTAAAGTAGGTGAAGGGTAGGTAGAGACTTGGGCCAGAAGCAGAGTGCAGTTATCAGGGCAAGAGCGGGTTGGAGAGGGCAGGTCATGAAAAGTGAACATGTACAGAGGTGCATGCCTTTTCCTAAAAGGCAGAAGCACCCTGGCATCCACCTCTCTAGGTTGCCATCGCCCAGGAGAAAAGAAGTGCTGCTCTCATTCTCCTGCCTTCCCCAGTGTTCTGTTAGGCCCTGTAGGGCGCTGGTCATGTGTGGAACTGGTAGAGAGTAGATCTGGAGGGGCAGGTAGGAGGGTCTGGGAGCTATAGATATGGGTGGTCTCTTTGCTGAGGGACACTAGAAGGTCTGCTTTGGGCGACCGGTATCACTATCCCGGCATACCTGGAAAGCTTCAACTATAAGCAGCATCTGGCAGCTTGCTGTTGGAGGGGTTGGGCTCAGCTGAGGTCCAGGCTGGGCTAGCACCTGGGTGTCATTGGCTTCTGGACCATACCAGAAGCCACAGGACTGCATGAGAGCATAGGGACAGACCGAGGACAGAGAGGAGGCAGAGCATGGAGCTGGGAGGCTCTCCTGCCACTCTGGATGTCCAGGTCGCCTGGGCTGACCACCCCTGCCTGCGTTTCCCAGCTGTTGAGTCTAGCCAGTGATGTCCAGGACCTGCACTTGGCCCAGCAGAAGGAAATGGCCTTGGGCTTCAGTAAGATGCCCACCCTGGTGCTGCTCCAGATGTTCCCTTGTTGATGGAGATGCTGAGCTACAGCGACTGCTTTGTGGGAATCATGACAAGTGAGTGGCCTCCTGATACCTACCTCTTTCTCTCACCATGTTCTGCCCCTGGGGTTTGTGTGTCACTGTCTGGGTTCCCTTCGTCCTAGCTCCTCATGAGCTGTGTCTACAAATGTGCCTGTTCTGGGTGTGTGTATCTCATACTAGTGGTTTTTTGTGAACTTGTAGGGTCTTTTGCTCCCTAGGCCACCTTAGCCTCACATCTTTGGGTGCTCCGCAGGGAACTGGCTCCTGGGAAGTGGGCTGGACTGGTGGCCCTGCTGGAGAAGTTCAGTGGCTTCCTAGCACTCTTAAGGCAAAGCCCTGACCTCACACTTGATGGCCAGAGTGCTCCTGCCCGCCCACTCCTACCCGTCACTGGGCCTTCTCTTCAGGACTGCTCTACCTTCTGTTATTCATTTTTATCAAAAAGCTATTGCGTGGCCAGACCTCCTCTCTGTTCCCACCTATCTCAACAATCAGGTCCCCCTCATCCCTTGGGCTTTTGCCTTTTTCTATCTAAATTTCTCTTTCCTTGTCTTTTGAATTTCTTTTCCTCTGTTTTATTTACTTATCTTATTGCTGAGACAAAACAGCCAATATCCAGAGTTAAAGACAGAAAGGTTTGTTTAGGTCACAGTCTGAAGAGGTTTTGGTCCACAGTTGGCTGGCTCCAGGGCAGCGTGGCATCGCAGAGGAGAAACAGGTTGTGGTGGGCAAAAGGGGAGAAATCAAGGGATGGGCACAGCTTCTTTTACCCCTTATATTTTATCCAGGCTACTCAGGGGGGCAGTACTTACACCCTTAATCCTAGTGCCCTTAAGCGTAGCATTGTGCCTTGAGTCAGTCCCAGTGTCACAGCCTCATGTGTGCCACATGAGGCTTTGGGGGTACATCCTTTTGTCTCTGCTTGCCTCCACTCTGGATCTCCTCCATCTCACCCTGTAAGTCTTGCATCTCTGCATTTCTCCACACCTGTGATCTCCAATGTTTCTCCTGTTCTTTGTGCTCCAGCCTTGAGCTCTGCCTACCTCCCCAACAGAGGCACAGCAGCTGACCACCTGTCCCTCCTGGCTCCACAGCCCATCCCTCTGCTACCACACGTACTTGGATTGGCTGGAGCAGCCCTTTTCAAGGCCATGCCCAGTCTGCAGCCCCTGCTCTGCAGAGCCTGGCCAGCCCTGCTCTTCTATCTGCTCTTTGAGCTTTCTTCCCATTGTGATGCGGAATTCAGGACCAGACTGAATAGAGTCATGGCATGAGAGGGAATTTAGAGGGCAGTTTTACTATGACAGGAACCTCAGTCCCAAATCATCAGCAGTGATTGGAGTTTTCCAGTCTTTATATATGTCTCCAAAAGGAAATGCCAAAGACACATAACCTAATATCCTATGGTTGGGTATACACATCTTTGTCATCAGCTACTAGGTAGAGTTCACTCTGACAGAAACAGCAACTAAATGAGGTTACTGTCATACAACATAGAGGAAGAACCCA